AAAAAAAAAGGATAAAGGAGCGGCTAGAGGCAATCGTTCAAGGGGAGCTATTTTCCGTGTTTCTAAGATGAGAAATTGGCGATATGTCACGAGCGTGATTGGATTCTCTGAAGCCTCAAGGCTTGGATGGTCAAACCCGGCAGACAGCGGCATGATCCCGCCAGTTTCTAGCCACGGTAGAGTTTGAGCAACATGACGTTCGTGAAAACCTAAGTTACCGAATTGGTCTTTAACAAAGTCACAATATCGGTCTATCGTAGCCGGCACAGCCCAGGCGAATTGAGCACAGCCCAGGCGAATTGAGCACAGCCCAGGCGGATTGAGCACAGCCCAGGCGGGTTAGCGCAGCCCCGTTCCACATCCTCATTACGCCTCGATGGCCTTCCCTTTAAGAGTCGCTCGCCCTCTCTTAGCTCTTCTTCAACGCGCCATCTGCGAGCACTGTTCTATCTCCTACCTCGCCGGCTACTTACCTTGATTAATATAGTCTGATCAAACACTCTTGCTAACTGAGTCTCGCGATGTCTCACCTACGGCCTCCTTGTCGCGTCCTCTTTCGAATCGCCGCCACCGCCGCCGGCGGTTCCTTCTCCCCTACCTCGACAACCGAGGCTGGGGAGTGGCAGAAGGCCCTCGGATTCACGCTCCAGAGGATGAAAACCCAGATTTACTATGTTATCTTTCTTATTGCTCTACGAGAAGCTTCCCGGGTTGGATTATGGCAGATGGTGTATGCTGGCAAGCATGGCTATCCGCCGCCCAGGGAGGATGACTACGGTGTATGTCGCGACTTGGAGAACCTCCTGACATGGTGACGGATGCTGACAGCGTCTTTGATATAGATTGCCTACACGGCTGGATCCATCATCAGCTGGTTCTTCGTCTGTGTTTTCACGATAATCTGGATGCCGCTTTTTGATGTGAGCTCAAACCCTTCCCTCCCCGCTAGCTTGATGATGATAGGTGAAGCAGACTGGCCGCCGTAACTAACGCCGGATTACTCACAGTGGTGGCTTCCACGTTCCCAACCTTCCATTGCCATAACAACCAGGTGGCTACTTGAGGCCGGCAATTCGATACTTCTTCCTCTTTCCATTTGGGCCTGTCTATTGACATACACCTGGTTGGTATGGCGCATCTTCATCTTCGTCGGCTCTCGGACGCGAGATTCCACGAAACGGTCCCGCAACACACACCAAAGCTGGCTTGTTCGTGCTTTTGTGCTTCTGAGTATTCTCATCACCATAGGCCTGGGATATGGTGCATTACAGATTCTCGAGAAATCAGACCTTGCCCGGGTGAAGGACGCGGAGATTTTCCGCATCGTCGTACCTGTGCTGATTTACCTTGGTGTCCAGCTGGCGATAGGGTTACTATTTCGCGGACGGAAGGAACCTGCGGGCAAGCGGGCGGCGCAATTACGGCCTGTCGGAATTGAGGTTGGCGCCGAGGAAGGAAAAGAGACGTTGCTAGAGGTATAGGTGGCTCCTCTCGGAAAGACTGGCTCCGAGTAAGGCGGCTGTCTCGAGTAAATGGACTTGGAGAAAAGGGAGAAATAGGGGAAGAGGGGGGACGGACAAGGGGGGATGGAGGGCTTGCGGTCCCGACACTAGGTGTCAAACCAAAGAGGTGATGATTTTGAGCATCTGGTTATTGGTCACCAACTGGTATTGAATTCGGAATGGAAGGATCTTGCCGGTACCACCAGAATACGAATATCAGCCCCTTCTCTCTCCCCGAATGCACGCTACTTCCCATAATGCTGTATTCAACCTTTTCATCCGGACAATTGTGATTATGCATACCTCATCGCTCCTCCTACTTTTCAGATTTCTTCGTGAAGGCCGAACCACACCACGGAGGAAGAAAAAGTCACACCACGAAGACAGTTGAGTCTGTGCCACTATCTAGTTGCCGGGTTGCGCAAGGCTGAACGGTCGTACGTGGGGGAGTAATATTCACGTGTCGGGCTACCTTCAGTGACTTTGAGGCGGGTCAACCCGGCGAGATGAAGATCTTTCCGGCCCATCGAGAAGATAACAGAAAAGCGGAGACTTCGAACAGTATGTTGAGTCCTACGGTACAATATCCATATGTCAACGATCAAAATTACTGCCGATGAAAGTGAACTTATAGTCTAATATACGAGCTAAGTCGCAACCAGCCTTGTTATATACTGGACATCACGAAAAATCTCTCCCCTGCTACAGTAACCTGTCCTGATTTCGGCTATCGGATACGTCGTCGACGTTTCGAGATGTTCCGCGCGAAGGGCTACCACCCTGGCTATTACTGTCCACGGCCATCCGCCCATTACTCGCTCCTTTAAGTTAGTCGATGGGATCTCCCACGCCGGCACGCGGACTCTACACTTGATCTCTCTTCTTCCAGGATAAGAAAACCGGCTTCAGCCTTCAGGAGGCCCGTGTATGGTGGCACCTTCTCCGCGCTCAGGAAGCGAAATGCTCACCTGCAGCCAACGCTGGACCGAGCCAGTACTCATCGACGACGGCGTCCGGCCCTAGGTGGGTGTGATCGAGACCGGTGTATTGAAGAGCCGGCCGGTTCAATGTGAGCCCCGTGGGTGGCCGTCCAGAGTTGCCGCCGTATGTCCTCTGTCCCTTGCTTGCCCTCGCGCAGCTGGGCGTCGAGCGCGGCATTTTCGATCTCGGGGTACGCCATCTTTTTCACTGGTGGTTCATTCGTCCTCGCTTCCTGCTTCATCCCGCGGTATCATAGGCCCGTTCGAGGTCTTGTGTCAGAATTGAAACGTAACTTTCAAGGCCTTACGATGACTCCGTCACTTTTCGTAGACGGAGTATGGGGAAAGGGGAGGTGAAGACGGGACGGAAACTGAAGAGAGGAGGTGGTTGGGGGCTACGGGCCGTGCTTTAACAGAAAAATCTACCAATGCCGTCTGATCTCTTCATACTACAACTACATTGGAGGCCTAGAGTGTCGTAGTGGACGACGATATTGTTCGACATGGATTTTTACCGGCCCGAGATCTATCGTCTCCTTGTCTCTCGCTCTCATTCTCATTGCTCATTTGAGCTAGGTGCCCGTTTCTTCCAGTCTCTGAACGCCTATAAATCTAGACGTCTTTTCGAGCTCCGGACTCTATCTAGCGATACGTATACCGTAGATAGTGGACCGAAATAGGTGTAAACAACCTCTTGGCGAGACCAAACTCGATCCCTATCGACAAGTTTCACCCTCCCGGTGAGACTTTGCCTTCCGGTTCCAGAGCATTCTTGTTCTTCCTGGGGAGGATCAAACTGATTCTTCTGGGTGCACCCACTTGATCCGTTGGCAGCCGCGAACCCTTTTTTTCTGGTGGAATTTCCCACCACGTGTTGAAAATCGAGAGATGCCTGCGAGACAAGATAGCAGCAACGCTATCCACCTAATGTGGCATCAGGATATATGTCAATGGCTGCGGACTCGTGCTTCGCCGGCTAAAAATAGAGATACACGCGAATGGAAAATAGCGTCAAGGAACATCCACACGCAACAGACCTTCATTTATCGCTATGGGGTAGTTATACAAATCGAAACGAGGGTTATATTGGTTGGGTTGATTTCGTTCGGTGGTACAGTATACGAGAGATGCTAACCGATAAGAGAGGTAACCCTTATTACGTACCCATCAAACAGCAAATAGCAGAAAGCACTCCTGTTCTAATCCAAGGCCGCGTCTGAGAATAATGCCAAACGCCCAATCCCTCAACCGAGTCAGTCTCATCGACGGGCGTCAAATCCTAGTGCACCGCCCGCCTCCCCCGCCTCGTACAACTAAACACCCCAGTACTCATTCTCCTTACGTCCGCCGTTATCCTTTTCGCTGGCGTAGGCCGGTGGCGCTTGGTCACCGAGCTCGATCAGCCCTTGAGCCTCAGCCTCTCCTTCCTGGCATCCAGACGGTACTGGCTTCTTTCCCGCAGTTCTCTGAGCCCACGCCTTCTTCGTTTGGCAGTGGTCGTATGCAAGAGCTCCCAGAAAAACTAGGCCCACTGTAGCGATCACTGCGGCGCCATAACCGGCCTGGGCGACACTACCGAAGTAGATGATGCTGTAGTAGGGGATGCCGTCGTTGCCGCCGAACTTGGCAAAGGAAGTCTGGAAGCCCTGGGCCTTGTTGGCGATGGTGGCACCCGCGACGATCAGAAGGAGAGAATCGAACAACTGGAAAGCGATAAAGATGGTGAAGTGCAGGCCGCTGCTCGGATGATCTAGCAGTCTCCGTGGGTAAACTGCGATGAAGAGGCCGAAGAGACTAAAGAAGGCGGTGAGCACGGCGCTGACCGTTGAGTTGGTGATGATGTGTCCCTGGAGCTTTTGGAAGCGACTGTCCTGGAGCACTTCGTTGTTGTCGACGTAGCGGGACCTTGCGCGGTCGCGCAGTTTCATTGCAAAGGCTATGTTGGCTGTGCTCAGGGCGGCCGCGCCCAGTGCTAAAAGGGCGAAGACCAGGATCACCGTGCGATAGCGGATGGTATATCGAGAAGCCATCGCGAAGAAGGGAAGTCGTCGTTGAGTGAAGGCTGAATTGTGGTGAGTGAAGGACGGGTTAGGCACCAGACCGACTCCCTTTATATTCTTTCTCTCTCTCTCTCTCTCTCTCTCTCTCTCTC